TATCATAAAATGCAATCTTCACTTTCTTCTCTGCTTCAGAAACCTAACTTAAAGCTAATGATGGAGCTACTGAAAAAAATTAATGTATTTTTTGACAATTGTTTTATCCCACAACATGTATGGCGTATTTCTTTACTATACTGAGGTGCAAATCAACAAAAAATATGTGACGAAACAGTGTCAGTTCCTATTGCAGTCGATGTCGATGTCAAATTTAGTGTACATTGATCACAGCAAAATAACTTAACATTGATCAACCCAAAGTAGTTATGTAGGGGAAATTCTGTAAATTATTAACCATTACATTACATTTAAATACATTATCTCATGCGTAAGATGAACCGTGGTCTGATTATGCTAACATGAATTGTCGAGAGTTTTGAACCTGTTTCGGTTATAATAAAGATTAAGTATAATAATCAAAAATGCATGACATACATCAATTTTGCGTAATTCTACGTCATACTGCGGTCGTGTCTAGGACACAACCCTTTAATTTTTTCGCTCTTGGTAGTTTTCAGAGCCAAATGGGTGATGAAAAAGTATTTTCGTTGGTTTTTGAAGAGAGATATTTTCGGATTATGTATGAGAGAGGATAATGAATTATCGATGAAAAAGGAGAGATGAAAATGTGAACGGTTCACTACTCACCGAAAAGTAGCTTGAGTGAGGAAATGCGTATCGTGCAGCTGAGTGAGAATTTCTATCTCTGTCCTCCAGTAAGTTGAGTGAGCAACAAAACAAAAATACTAGAAATGTAAACATGTAAACATGGGCAATGGTGCCAGAATTGATTGAAACTTTGAAATTGGATGTGACGGAAGAGTGTTGAAGCAACAATCAATACGAAACTAACGATTTTAAATTGGCTCACCACTTTAGTAGCCTATTGGTCCCAAGCAAACGATTAACGTACCCTATTCTAGTTGAAATTCTATTACTACACTATGTTTGTTTTGATTCGCTATGAAAGTTTGACAGATAACATCAGGGGTGTGTGGATTCATGCAGAACATGCAGGGGTGAGTGAAATAGCTTGGTACTGCTTGGGACCGTTGTTCTGGTACTGAGTGAGCCAAAAATAATAATGATTTTCTTCGGGACCCAGTGGTCTTAGAGTTACCTCTATGGTTGAAGTGTGTTTTTGGTGTGTTAAGCAAGGGAGTGACCATTAGATTGAGGCGAAATTTGAAATTTTCGCTCCACAATGCTCAAACGGTTCCAAATTGGGCTCTGATCAGCTTCCCAAATTTTTGAACTCATTTAGTGAGAAACTGACTTGGCACACATTTAGAGATGAACTAGCCTAAGGCTAAAAATCTCTTTAATGAAGAATTCAACAAAAAAAAGTAAAGGGTTGTGTCCTAGACACGACCGCAGTATGACGTAGAACCACACAAAATTGATGTTTTTCATGCATTTTTGACTATTATACTTTATCTTAAAATTTTCAAGTATTTCAATGTTTCGGTTATGGTTGACTCAAAACAATTTACACATTTTTCTTGACAAATATCCATGTGAAATTCCACATGATTTTCATTTGACCACACATAAACAGAATCCACTCAGAAGTACACATGAAATTTACACGCAAATGAATAGTATGTGTGGTCACGCATGGTTTTTATATGTACATATATTAAGTATGTGGCCGACACATAGATATTGATTTGTTGATCACGTTGCAACAACTCATGTGTGGGACACATAAAAACAATATTTGAAATTTTGTTAGTGTTCAATGTTGGTTCAAGTATTTTTCCTGGAATGTAATAAATTATGAAAGTTCAAATGTATGGTCCTAAACAAGCCGTTACATATTTTGGTGTAGACACTGGTAACTATTTGAATTTCCATTATATGCAATTCAGTTTTAAAATCAACACTTTTAATTTTATTTGTGGCCCTTGAAAGGGCCGTTTGATGTTATGGTTCCGAAAGAACCGTTGGGTGATGTTGATATTCGTCCCTTCTAGGATGGTATGTTTAAAATTTATTTCCCGGAAAAAAGGGATCGTCAAAGTCTGTCTCGCTTTCGGGTTATTTTTTGTTGTGGGGGGGGGGGGGTTAGGAGAGGTATTTGAGGGGGGGGGTAGGAGAGGTATTTGAGGGGGGGAGGTAGGAAGGGTTTGATGGTGGAGAGAAGGGTAGGAGAGGTTTGATGGTGGGGGGGGGGGGGTAGGAGAGGTTGTTAAAAGGGCGAGAGGTTGTTGAGGGGGGGGGGGGGCGAGAGATTGTTGTGAAGGGCGGAGGGGGTTTACATTAATGCTTTTCCTCATTGTGGTCACGCCGTGATCCACCTTAAGCCGCTGATTTGGTCCAGCTTACTGTAGGACCAAGCACCACGCCGTCCGAAGCGACAATGAGCAAAAGCATGACAGCAGCGCTGTTTTATATCTTTTCAGGTTCAGAACCTGATAGAATTTCCCGCAGTTTTTTATGAATAGGGCGGAGCAGAAAGTTTCTTTTGTGCAGAATATGTAAAATAGGATGGACTTTGGATGTTAATATAATTGCATATATAGAGGCACCAGATATGTTTTACCGTCAGTTGTGTGTAATTCACCAACTGAATGTAATCAAGTATGTCTTCAATGCAATTTTTTGTTCAAATTTGGTAAAACTTGATTTTACTAATGATTGTGGTTTGTTTAAAAATTATTTCCCGGAAAAAAGGGATCGTCAAAGTCTGTCTCGCTTTCGGGTTATTTTTTGTTGTGGGGGGGGGGGTTAGGAGTGGTATTGGGGTGGGGGGGTTAGGAGAGGTATTTGAGGGGGGGTAGGGGGGGTTTGATGGTGGGGAGAGGGGTAGGAGAGGTTTGATGGTGGGGGGGGGGGTAGGAGAGGTTGTTGAGGGGGGGGCCGAGAGATTGTTGTGAAGGGTGGAGGGGGTTTACATTATTGCTTTTCCTCATTGTGGTCACGCCGTGATCCACCTTAAGCCTCTGATTTGGTCCTGCTTGCTGCAGGACCAAGCGCCACGCCGTCCGAAGCGTTAATGAGCAGTGGCATGAGAGCAGCGCTGATTTATATCTTTTCAGGTTCAAGCAGAATGATGTGCAACCAAGTGGTATATGTTTATGATGACTGGGTTTGGGAAAAGGCTTATTTCATGAAATCAGTGATAAAATTATAATTTGTACATTTTCAAAAGTTTAATTACAGAAAAATTGGAAAAATATTTATTTCAACAGGTTCGTAATGTAATATCCTATCGATTGGCGTATTTGGATTTTAATTTCATCTATAAATGACAAAGTTACAAGCGTTCAAAACCTAACACTCCTTCACCACACATATTTTTTGACTTGCACCCCAGTATAGTCGACAAAGACGTAGTTCTACGTCAAAAAAAAAAGCTTTGCACACATTATTTGAAGTTTATATGGGAATTACTATAGAGAAACCATAATTTCGGTTCATATCTATCTCAAAATTAGCCAGTTTACTCTAATTTAGATAATGACAGCTGAGCTTGTTTAAAAAATTTCAGCTACAACTTTGTTGAAGACCACTTTTCGATCAAATGTAAGGAACAAAAATTATTAATGATTCAAGTCACTGATGTCTTATGATTATGCTCAATCAACTGTTCAGCAGGCAACATTGGTGTTTATGGCGCGTAGAATAGAAGACAAAAATCATGGCTACTATGTCACACTGCAGAATACAGTGTTGCTCACAATACAGTTGCTTAATCTTGCCATAAGATTATCAATCTCTTCAACAATTAATAACTATTTAATTTGACATTTGGCTGAAAAACGATTTTCTGCAAAGTTGTAGCTGATAAAATTTCCCATAAGAATAGCAATAGAATGTGTTAATAGTACAATATGTTAAAAAGCTAGAAGACAACGAACAAAAAGTTTTGTTTCCCATACAAATTTCCATATAAACTTCAAATGGTTTGTGCCAAGTTAGATTCTTATCAAATAAGTTTAAACTTTCGGAGGCTAATCAGGACCCGATTTAAAACCGTTTGAACACGAAAATTTGCGGAGCGAAAATTTCAAATTTTGCATCAGTCTAGTGACCATCTACCATTAAATAGGCAGTACTTATTTAAGCTTCTCCATGTGTTCATTATTCTCGTCCAAATGTGTTCGTAAGGATTCAAATAAGTAACTATTGAAAAACAATTAGCATATTATTGATTTTAAACAAGAACTTTTTTGATGGATTCGATAATTTTAAGCTGTATGGAACATCTTTTTTTCTAGTCCTTTTTTTCATAAATACATTTTGGCATCTCAAAACAACCAAAAACCTTCTGGGAAATAAAGGGTGAACTAATTTGACATTTTTTTTTTATTTCATTTTCAAGTTCGATGGTATTTTGATTCTGGGTTTCAGTGCAGTTTCTTTGGCTAGAACGCCAGTTTTGAGTGTTAAGGGTCTTTTACAACATCTGTGCTCAATATTGGGGGGTTGCGAGCTTAATGAATGGGTCAAAGTGGGTCCCATTCGACAAAAGTTACGCCATATCAGGCATAACATTTGATAACGGCACAAAAGCATTTGTAAACAAACTTTCTAAGGCCCTTTACACGTGAACCAAAGTACGCCCACGCATAGCAACAACATCATCGGATAGGGGCAACTATCACCTTTCCGAAAATAGTATTGGTTTGCGTAGGCGTATTTTGGTTCGCGTGTAAAGGGCCTTAGAAAGTTTGTTTACAAATGCTTTTGTGCCGTTATCAAATGTTATGCCTGATATACTCGCAAGAGCAACCCTAGATATCTTGATTCGTGCACCTATGTCGATCTAGGCCCCGCCGTCTGACGTAATCGATAGCTTTTCTATAATTCGAGCAATATCGAAGAGGGAACCAACCGCAACGATTAACATATAGCATATTTGAATACGCCAAGCTGTCATTTAACAACAATAATCAATACATCACCACCAATATTCAAGACATCAACGACATGTTGGACTAGTTGCGTGCATTGCTTGATCAATTATAACTGTTCTTTTTCTCGTACCACAGGACGCCACCTCGATGGAACCGACCGAGACGTTCTCCGAACGGGTGGAGCACTTCCGTTGCGATTTCACCAATCAAATCAAGTCGCTGATGCACAAAATAACCGACATTGCCACGCAAAATCCTTCGGAAAAGTTTATCAATCTCATTCACAGGTAGGAAGTTGACGTTGAATTATTTCCATGGCTTGATACCCTTTCTTTGCGTGTATTTGCAGAATTAACTTCAACTCCTACTATAGCGATAATTTCGATAACTAATAGGCGATAGATCCCCGGCTGATTGGTAAGGACGGTACACCCCCCAATTCTTATGAATCCGTGTTGCCAAAGTACCTATATGTTCCTTTGTCACTCAAAACAATTCAATCGCAAACAGCAAACGAAAACGCTTAATACGCAAATGCTTTAGACAAAAGAATAAGCATTTGTAGATAATCTTACCCCTAGGGGTCAAAGGAGGATTTCGATCCGAAATTAAATGAAACATCAAATCGCTAGTAATAAAATCTATATAATTACAATTTCACTGTAAGCGAACAGCAGAAAAAAGTTTTCTACCCATTGTGGCGGGATAGTAGACAAAAAAAAAGAAATCCTCTCAACCAGCCTCATCCGCTACTGGTTCAATTTCGAAAATCACCACCTGCCCCTCGCAGGTTTCCATATGTTGCTTTTTCAGCTTTCGCGTTGCGAAAACGTACTCGCATTTGGGGCAACGTTCCACGGGTTTCTACAAAACGACAAATCGAGTGAGAGGGAGAGGGTTTATGATGGATTCGGCACGAAAGATTGTTCGATGCTTACCCTCAAAGCGCGCTGCTTTCCCATCAGTACCCCGGCTTTCGGTTTCACCCGTGCATTTGTATTCAAACCGTGAGCCAGGAACATGTGCCGGTTGTAGAAGGAATGATAACGGAAGTCACGGTTGCAGCAAACGTAATCCTCCCTAAAATGCAAATAGAGTAAAATTATAATTCTTCCAACGGTACCTACACAAGAAAATCACATACTGATACGTGATGCACATATGCTCGTTGAAGTCCTCCGGGGTTGCACAGCTGGTCAAACAGATGCCACACTCCAGATCCTGGGCGTTTTCGTGGCGAAGATTGTGCTCCTGGAGCTTTCCGTCCGACTCGAACGAGGTACAGCAAATTTCACACACGAAGTACGTTTGGATCTATGTGAGAGGATAGGAAATTTGACGAAACATGTTAATACCAATGAACCATCGATCGGAAAGATTTTACGTACGTCGTGAGCGCGTTCCATGTGCATCCGCAGTTTATCCCGCCGCCCGTAGGTCATCGGACAATGCTCGCAAGTGTAGCGAATCTCGGTATGCACCGTACGGATGTGCCTCCGCAGATGATTCGATGTTTTGAATGCCATCTCGCACTGATTGCAAGTATAGTTCCGTTCCACGGAATGTGTCAGCAGATGCTGCGTCAACAGCAGTTTGCTGCAAGCGAAAAAAAAAGTCCATAATTATTCCCACCCGATTTTCATCGAATCCAGCAGCACTTACTGTTTGAAACCCAGTCCACATTCGTGACACTCGAACAGTAATCGACTCATGTGTGCCTTCGTAACGTGTCGCTGCATTTCCACCTCACTTCTGAACATTTCATCGCACATTGAACACCGTACCGTCGGATCCCGTTCACGCTCGTGACTCCTCGTGTGGTTCTCCAAAGCAATCAAATGCTTCGTCACCTTACCGCAAACCATACAAATATGCGTACTGTGGGCATCATTTTTATGCTGCCTCAACAGCTCAAGCGAATCGAACAGATCTCCAGCACAGCTAACCCGATGGCATGACAATATTTCTACTTCATCACCGTGCACCCTGGCCAGGTGCTTCTCGAACTGAGAAGGGAATGTTGTTTTGAAAGTACATTTCAAACCGCACTGCTGCTCATCCACTTCCTCTTCCGGTAACCGAACGTAACGCCGCTTCTGTGGAGGCGGTTTCTCGTCTGCCGAGTAATCCACATCATCTTCCATATCAATTTCGTATTCTTCATCATCTTCAATCATCGTGTATTCAGACTTTAAATCTTCATCAAGCCCGGTAGTACTCTGACCTGCACCCGCATCAGGCACTTCCGCTTCTGACACCACCTCGCCATGAACTTCACTCTCATCATGCCGTTCTTCCAATGCCTTCTGAAACTCGCTCAAAAAACTAGGCACATCCAGCTTCTCTTCGACTCCGTCCTCGGAAAGTGCCATCACCTCTCCACAAACCTCTTCGTCGTCAACAGTTTCAACCTTGATGCATATCGTCGACGCAAGGTCATACTCATTGAACTCCTTCAGCATTTCCTCCACGCCAGCGTCCTCCCTATCGCATAGATCCAAATCCTTGAAAAGGACCTGAAGCTGCTGTTTTTCTCCGTCGAAGAGTTCCACCAAAGGCCGTTGATTGCCGCACTTGACATCGGCCAGACAACATGAAAAACGTTGAATCAGATCCAACTTCCGTTTGTACTTGTAGAATAACTCAAACACGTCCAAACAACTTTCGCACGCTTCCACCGGGAGGTAGCAAGCCAATTCCTAAAGCGAGATTTATCCGGTAAAAAAAATCAAACCACAATAATTATCGCAAATTGAAATTTTCAACTTACGAAGGGAACCTTCAGGCTGACTTCCTCAAGCATCTCGGAGATCGAGCTACCGAATGCGGGTCGGTAGCTATCTAGTGAAATTATTTCGGCTGATGATTTTGGTTGCAGGCATAGTCTGCACACGTTCGGAAAATTTTTCAACTTGAAAATAGTCATTTTAAAACGAATTTAAAATAAAAAAGACTTCCGAAATTTAAACATACACAAAGTGCAAAAGCGTCTGCCCAGATTTGTTGTTGTTTGGTTTTGACAGCACTATGTTTTGCATGTTTGGTAGCCGTATGCAGGGCTGTACTTAAAGCCAAGCTGAGTACAAATAGGTGTTCTAATGTGCTAAATTCGTGGTTGTTGGATTTTTGCTTGGAAGAGCTTTGCTCTAAAAAAGGTTTCTACCAAGCTTGGAAGATGACCGGTAATCAAAAATAACTGCATTTTTTTCGAAAAAATCATTTAATTTTGAATAACTGGGTAATCAAACAGTAATCAAAATAATCTTTAATAATTTGTAGGTAACTTCGACGGTGAGCATGTATAAGCATAGAGGTAACGCCTAGGGGCAGCCCTAATAAACAAATACCATAAACGAACTGTATCCCGGATGGATAAACTATCGCACAAAAGGTTTGGATGATACCCCGAACACATCGTTTTACTCCGTTCTCATTACGCTCTATATCACGTGATATAGCTAGATGATATAGATATCAAGTGGAGGTGTTCACATTACGCTGGCGTGATATAGCATGACGTTTATGCCAGATCATAAACAAAAACAATGATTGTTGTGCGAGCAACCGACAGGAAGAAAAATATTTCCAATTCTCTAACATTTATTTCACGGGATGTTAAAAAATCCCTTCGGGAAGAATTAATAAGAAATACATACATTAGTTTGGGCTTGGGCTATAAGCTACAATTCGTGTGTATCTTTATGTTTAGGATACTTGTTAGATGTGTTTGTTTTTTTTTTTAATATACGAGTTTATGTTGATGGCTACTTACGTTTACTGTTCTTCTAGTAATAAATCTGTCCGTACTCGCAACAATCCGTACTATTTATGTGTAGCTGTGGGAAATTTTTATGGTTAGGTTAAACTGTGCATGATTTGCCTTTTGATTTTTTACCTGCCTTTTGTCTTTTGTGTAGTTAGTAGTATAGTTTGTAAGTAGTTCATAAGTTTGCAAAACACCGCCCTAGTATTTAATCTAGATTTATGTAGGAGTAATTAATTTTTAAACAAAGTTGTTCCTCTTTCACAAAAAACCTCACCTATCCACATGGAAGTTGTTCACTCTTTTGCCCTACCAAGAAAAACTTCCACATCATCGCGTTTGACAGCTGGAAACCACGGTCGGAGTTGGATTCTGGTGGCGAGGTTTTTGTGGTGGATTCTGCTACCGAGGTTGTTGTGGTAGGAGAGGTGCGTCACAAGGCACAGGGTTGTGACACTCCCCCTCGGTACGCCGCTGTTGTTCGAGTGGCTTACCACCGTTTGCACCGACGTCTAGCACCGCAATCTTGGTCGCTGGTCTCTCCAGAAGTCCGCTCGACGTCTGAACGGTCACGCGCCGAACCTGTCCGTCGGTTGCCTGAACTGCCTTGACCACGCGTCCTCGCGGCCAACAGTTTCTCGGAAGCTTGGAGTCAGCTATCAACACCAGATCACCTTCCTGGATAGGTTTTACCGGTTGAAACCACTTTGTCTTGCGTGTCAACGTAGGCAAGTACTCGTCAATCCACTTCTTCCAGAAGTTGTCGGCGTATACCTGGGCCATCTTCCACGATCGCTTCAGCACAGTGGGACTGTCGTCGAAAATGATTGGGGGCTTACTCCCATCCGAAGAACCTAACAGAAAGTGGTTCGGTGTTAAGGGGGGGTCAGTGTCATTATCTAGAGGTATGTCAGTGAGCGGTCTTGTGTTCAATATCATCTCGATCTCCATTAACATGGAACGAAGAATTTCATCCGAAGGCAAACGCGGGGGGTCGAAATCGTTCATGGTCTTCTTGACAGACTGGATCAGGCGCTCCCAGCATCCACCAAAATGTGGAGCGGTCGGAGGGTTGAACGTCCACTTGGTGTTAAGACCGACGAACTCGACCATCAGTTTCTTCTCGTCGACGAGTTTCAGAGCTTCGCGCAGCTCCCTCGAGGCTCCGATGAAGTTCGTTCCTCGATCGCTAATCATCTCGAGCGGTGGACCCCTTCTAGCAATAAAATTGCGTAGCGCTAGGATGCAAGAGTCTGTCGTCAGCGAATGTGCTATTTCAATGTGCACGCCTCTGCTTGTCATACAGGTGAGAAGTACTCCCCATCTTTTCTCGGTACGTCTGCCGACTATCACTGGCATCGGCCCGAAATAGTCGACTCCGGTGTAAGAAAACGGTCGCTGGAATGGTGCCAACCGGGCAGCTGGGAGGTTCCCCATTGCTGGAGGCCTGGGACTCGCTTGCCGAATTTTGCAACGCTGACAATTTCTGCGAACTCGTTCGAACTCTGTACGGAGACGGGGAATGTTGTACTTTAGTCGAATCTGGTTCAGCGCAGTGTGGTGATTCTGGTGACGGTATCTAGCGTGGTAGTCGCCGAGCACTAGATCGGATACGTAGTTGCGCCTGGGCAGAAGGATCGGATTCTTGGTAGATTCATCTACATACTCGCAAGCATCGATACGTCCACGCATCCGTAGAACACCGTGCTCATCGATGACTGGGCTGAGCTTATATAGCGGGCTAGTCTTCGGCAAGGTACGCTCCCATGGCTGCACCCCTGGGTTACTGCTGCAGATCAGTTGGATTTCGTCCGGGTAAGCTTGCTGTTGAACTTGTCGATAGATGATGCTCTCGGCACGATTCAACTCCTCCTGCGTTAGCGGACCAAGTTCTGTGGCCGTTCTATTGATATGCTTACGAAGATTCACCACAAAGCGATGCAACTGTCCTCAACAGCCGTTTCCATTTGGAGAAGCGTTCAAAATATAACAAAGGTTCGGTAATTGTATGATGAAGAACGCTGAGACGGATTTCTTCCGTGGTTGATCCTTGATCTCCGCCGTCGCCAGGCCATTCACTTTCAGGCTCCCACAAAAAATCGGGACCACGGAACCAACGACTGTTTGGCTGAAAGTCTGGCAACCGTGCCCACTTCGTCCCATCGTCAGCTACGTTCTTTCTGGTCGGAATCCATCTCCACTCGTTTACTTGTGTTGTATCTAGTAGCTCGCTGATCCTGAATGCCACAAATTGGCTGTAGCGTCGGTGATCAGAACGGAGCCAACATACCACATCCCTGGAGTCGGTCCAGAAAACCCGTCGCGATATTTTCATTCGGTGTGAGTTAGTGATACATTCAGCTAGACGAGCGCCTATTACGGCCGCTTGCAATTCAAGTCGCGGAATCGAGAGGAATTTCAAAGGGGCCACCTTTGTTTTTGAGCCAACCAGCGCGCACTCCGTATTTCCTTTTTCTTCGAACCTGAAGTAAGCCACGGCAGCCATTCCGTTTTCGCTCGCATCGCAGAAAATATGCAATTCCACGGTATTCGTAGATTCAGCAGACGTCGCATTGCGGTAACAGCGAGGTACGCTCACTTGTCGGACGTTCGGCAACGCTTCTACCCAGGTTATCCATCTTTCGGCTAGCTTCCCGTTGATTTCATCATCCCAGCCGCATCCGGCACGCCAGATTTCCTGCAGTAGGATCTTCAAGTAGATGAGGAAATTGGAGATGAGTCCCATAGGATCGTAAATCGCCATCAACATACGCAGGACTTCTCGTTTGGTAGGCATCCTGCTTCCGGAAAGCAACTCCACGTTGTGCTTCGGTGAGATTCGGAACGTAAACGAATCGGCGGCAGTATCCCACCACATGCCTAGCACCTTTTCTGTTGCCATGTCCGTACAAAGGCTCATGTCCTTCTCTGTGGTACTGGTTTCGTGTAAACGCTTGACGACTGCTGATGAATTCGACAACCAGTTACGTATTTCGAAGCCACCCTGTGAGTGAATGGATCGGACTTCGCTCGCTAATTTCACCGCTTCCTCTTCAGTCTCAACGCTGGCCAACATGTCATCGACGTAGTGTTCGTGTTTGATGCACTCGACTGCCCTTGGATAATCTTCCACGAATCTGTCCGCATTCTGGTTCTTAACGTAGTGCGCGCAACTCGGTGAACATGCTGCACCGAACGTCATTACTTGCACCACGTACACCTCCGGTTCTTCATCAGGATCTCCGCTGATCCACAATATCATCTGGCTTCGTTGGTCTTGCTTTTTCATCCTGACTTGAAAGAACATTTCTCGGATGTCTCCCACAACTGCGACGCGGAATTCTCGGAACTTGAAGAGAACGCTAAGCAACGACACCAACTGATCTGGTCCCGTAAGGAGAAATGAGTTCAAAGAGACACCGTTAACTCTCGCTGCCGCATCGAACACGATACGTATCTTCCCTGGTTTGTTCGGGTTGATTACCGGGAAAATTGGCAAGTACCAGTCATTCGAATGCTTCTGCGATTTCTCCGCCGTTGAAAGCCGCCGAATGTAGCCCTTCTCTTCATATTCAGCCATCTTCGTTCGCACTGCCGCACCCAGCTCGAGGTCTCGCTTCATCCGCTTCTGCAGACAGTCCAACCGCTTCAGCGCCATTGCCTTATTGTTTGGCAACTGCACTTGATCGTACCGCCACAATAATCCGGTTTCGTAGCGCTCTCCAGTGAAACGCGTTTCGGATGATAGGATCTGCATCGCTCGTTCCTCGTCCTTTGAGAGTAACGGTTTAGATGATCCGGAGATTCCCAAGGAATCGATCGAGAAGTATTTCTTAAGAGCCACGTTCAATTGCGTTTCCTCGTCCTTAACGCATGGACAAATGTGGAAACTATGATAGCCACTATAGTCAGCGGTCGATGCACCGGATGCCATCTCACACCGTCCGTAAACCAGCCATCCGAGTCGGGTTTTGGATACTATCGGTTCGTTTTCACCTCCTTCGATGCTTCTCAAGGCGTGTCCTAGCCGACAGTTGTTCATTCCGATTAGGATTCTGGGGGAAACTCTGTCGTAAGATTCCAGGGGTAACCCAGTCAGGTAGTTGTACTTAGTTGTCAACTGTGACACTAGCATCGACTGCTTTGGTAGAGAAAGATCCCGAACCGTGTGAACCTCAGGGAG